ATTATTTATTAATAATAAGATGAAGAAGAAAGAATGGCTAATTTATAACCTTACGGCGTGGGAACTTACACAAAGTGAGGTAAAGTAGGGAAAAAAAGAAAATTTCCTAGAGGTCGGCTTGGCTTGGCTAGGTCTTGGGTTGGATGTAATGAATGCTTTGCTTATTGAGACAGGAGGCTGATATCTGACGAAGAAGAAGAAGAAAGAATTGTTTTGGGAGTGGTAGTGGGGAACCGAAGACGCCATACCATTATCTTAGAGCACTCTCCTTGTGTTAATTTGGTCTCCGCTTGTACTTCTAGAGCCGCTTCCTTCACAAACTTGATTGAATTCTACAAAACCAACAACAAACGTCATATATATACATGCATTTCATCGCGATCTCATATGTCATCAACCATCTAACGTAGGATGGCAATTACCACCTATGTAATTATACCCAAACCCAAGTAGATCCATTGATAATGAGTTGGGTATGGATGAAGTGCGTATGGGTTTGGGAGTTTGTAGATAGGTTGGGTATGAGTATAGATATTGCTTCCATAATCTAAATGGGTATGAGTTGGATATGAATATTCATTTACTTGAGTGTGTTTTAACTACACATGCAAAAATTAAACATATTTGTAAAACTTGAAAAGTTTAAGTACCAAAATGTAAGACCAAAAAACTTAGGTACCAAAACATAATTTTCCATCAATATTTTGATGACTTATATGCAAAAAAATTAAATTTAGGTACTAAATATACATATCTATTAAGTTTAGGTACCAAACTGTAATTTGCATTTGGGCATGGGTAGAAACCCAAATCAATTTGTTATAAACTCAACCCAACCCAAGTAAATGGGTATGAGTACAAACTCATCAAACTCTACATATCAATCTATTTGGATTTCATACCCAACCCAATTGAGTTGGATAATAAAAACCAATGAGTATGGGCAAAATTGTCATCCCTAATCTGACGTTAATGAATTACCTGGGAGGTGCGCTGTGAGGAAGAAGGGCGGCCCCATCTTTCAGGGTCCCAAAGAATTGAACTGTTGAATGCAAAGCTGGAAACATGAATTTTTGGATTCTCTTCTACTACTACTACTTCTTCTAATTCTTTTGTTGTAGTTGTAGCCTCCTTCATTTTGTTGAGATGCTCGCAGACAGGTCCTTGGATTACCACCTCACTCTTGTGTGGAGTCAGCAATGCCATTGGCCATGTCCCAAACATCCTGCACGCCCACAACACATGGTCAATTCATCAAAATTGAAGTATGCTTGAGTAACAATGTGTGACAACTTACAAGAGCGCATCGCCCGAAATTCAGAGGAGGCTACCATGCTTTATTGCCATTAAAAGGTCCCATAATGCTATTTATGTTCGTTGGATCTATTTAATGACGACTATTTACAAAATTATCACTACATGTATCCAACAATTACGAATCGGATGACACTAGAGCCCTCCAACACGAAACACCGCAGACGATCGGGAGGGGGATTATATTCTTTGCACATATGATATTTGCCTAAAGGAACTGATCATGAGCGGAATTTTGTATTTCAAAATCGTATATGACTGTCATATGCTTACTCGTCTTTATTTAAAAATTAAAATCGTTGTTTGGTAAATGGAGGAATCACAATCCAACTGCCAACTCGGTGGAATTGTTTCAGTTTTTCTTTGTTTCTTTTTCCAATAAGAGAACAAGAAGATTGAAGAGCATCGACATCTAGTTAATCTATGTAGGACTTTTTTAAATTTCCTCCAACCAAAGAGAAACGCATGTTCTTTGCATAATCCAGAGAGGATCCCACTGATAGCTAGTAATCCACTTAAGGATAGTTAGAACTTAATTAATTACACACATTTACTTCATTCGTGTTTATGACATGTCTGAATAAGCTTAAATATACTAATGAATCTTGCCTCGGCCTCGGCCTCGGCCTCGACCAATGCAGTATATATATAGTTATATACGCTAACAAAATTGTTAGCATTTTTTGCACGACTCTTGGGGCCCTGATTCTACCGCTCAAGATACCATGCATAATTATGGGTTATGCACTCATAGTAACTAAATATGGACCATTCATTCAGAAAATTTAGATTTAAAAGTGAAGAATTAAAGACATTTTTTATTTTTCCTTATTTTCTTAGTCGGCTCATATCTTCTTTGTTGTAACTCGGATTTCAAAAAACATTTTTCACAGATGGAACGAGTTCGTTGTGCTCTACAAAATGAAATCCATTTTTAATATTTTTCTAGAAAAAATTTCTTGCCTCTATTTACCAACTGCATACCATATGGTATCTTCTTCGTTTTTAATTCATTTTTGAAAACTTTTACACAGAAGAAACGAGTTCATCATGATCTGTTGGATCTACAATTTTCTGGGTGAACAAAATACAGGACCAAAAAATACCACACAATACCACCCTGATACGGGGTGATATCTTGTGGTACACAATGTTAAAAGTCGTAAATGATAATTAGTATACTTCTTTTTTTTATCGGAACCTGCGATTCAGCTTTATTAAGATGAGAACAAAGTTACATTGTCCCTACCTAGCTGATCCAGCAGATTCAGCGGTGGTCTATCAAACCAAACCTCTGCAGTGTCCCGTCTCGCTCTCGTATGAGCCATAATGTGTGCCACTTAATTAGCATTTCTACTAGCATATTGTACCCGCCCTTCTCTAGATTCAGCCGCCAATCTTCTCGTATGAGCCATAATGTGTGCCACTTAATTAGCATTTCTACTAACATATTGTACTAGCATATTGTGCCTAGCTGATCCAGCAGATTCAGCGGTGGTCTATCAAACCAAACCTCTGCAGTGTCCCGTCTCGCTCTCGTATGAGCCATAATGTGTGCCACTTAATTAGCATTTCTACTAGCATATTGTACCCGCCCTTCTCTAGATTCAGCCGCCAATCTTCTTATTTTTCTAAGCACAACCCCCATCTCTGTTTGGATATCCTCCACCATACCCAACTTCGTAACCACAACCTGACAGTCTGTCTCCACCAAAGGCGAGGCGAGATGGTGTTGGCGAGCCAGGTGGAAGCCGAACTCGACTGCCAGCGCTTCTCCCAGTGTCGGGTCTCGGACTCCTTCTATCCTTTTCCCACTTCCAAAATGAAAGTGTCATTATGATCTCGTACAACTACTCCCAGCCCCGCTCCTTCAACATCCAGACATACGTCAATGTTCAGCTTTATGCTCCCAGCTAGCGGCGGTATCCAGGATTGACAAATAGTGGGACGTGGCATATGTTCCAAATCTTGCTAGTGATGTCGATATTCCTCCAGGAAAGATTGCGCCCTAGGTACAATGTCATTCTCTTCTGACTTCCTCCCATTAAACATGCGCGCATTCCTTTCCTTCCAAAGCGACCATAATAACACTATCCATTCTTCAAGCTCGTTCACCGGGACTGTCTTGATGACCTGACGAACACAATCCATGCAGTTGCGGTCTCCTCTTAATTCAAAACAGTGAGCTACTGGCGAGGTCCGCCACAACCGGCTTGCCCATGAGCAGTCGTAAAACGCATGCAGTTGCGTTTCTAGTTGATCACAAAATGGACACGTCCCACTTAAATGCTCATTGCGTTTGTGGACTTGCTCCCCAATAGCCAGAGCTTCTCTTGTAAACTTCCACATTAATATCTTCACCTTCGGCGGTAGCTTTGATGAGCCCAAAATCGCGACTCAAGGAAATCAAAGTCGCGCAGAAACCAGCTCAAGCAAGGCACTTGAACTCGATTAAACCCGAACTCAAAAACCAACTTGAACAAGGCGGAATTGAACTCGAAATTGGGCGGATCGGCAGGGAATCCTTACACCTGGAAGGATGCACAGTCGAAGGTGAAGCTTTCGATGTGAACGAGTGTGTTTGCTCGTCCAATAAGCAAGGCTCAGCAAGCTTTTGATCGCAACCAAAAACCAATCAAAACTCACAAACTCTCAAGTCTGGGAATTGGGTAAATTCATTCAATCGTAATCTGAACAATACAATACGAGTATGAGGCCTTTTATAGGCTTAAACAATTACAATCTAACTAGAACAAGGACTGAAATTAACCTAACAAAGCAAGGAAACTGAATTACAAACTTAGTCCGAATGAACAAAGGAATCCTTGTAGAACTCGGATTACTGGCAGGGCGAGGTAGCTTCTTTGAAGCCCTCGAAAATGGTGTTCCTGGATGAATCGATCTCACCCAATGCCTTGTCGTTGTAAAAGAACACTTCCTCTTTCACCTCCAATTGGAATCAGTCCAAACTCATACTCCAAACTCCAGATGTAGGTCTTCAAAGTTGGCATCTCGGAACAGCTTTCTGCCTTAGCCAAATTCAGGCAGTTTTCCTGTTTTGGGATGGCCTTTTGATGAGCTTTGAAAACATCGTTCCAGACCTTCCCTTGAGCTCCACAATACATCAACGTAGAGATAATAACTTGATGTTTAAAATGACGCCTCGAACTTGAATTTCTATGGAGCCATTTGGGATTAGCAAGCTGCCAAAGATGGTACCTTGAAACACTATAATGACTTAGCCAAAATTTCCTCTCTTTATCCGTGATTGATCCAGCTTCTTGATTGATCGTGTGAGGTTTGGAATTCAAGTGGTTTGGGATCATATCAAGCTTTAGCGACCAAAGTAGCTTCCAAAGAGTCGGATCACCAACACTTCGTGATTCCCGTTGCTGTTGATAGTTACTCAACCAGGTCTTATATCCTCCCTTGGCCATGTATTGCCCATCGACACTGTCCACCCAAATCAGACGATCATGTTCTTCAGGATGGCATAAAGGATTTCTTTGATGGCTTGCACCATGTCAGTAGGGAAGCAGCTCTCCAAGAGAGTGTCATCCCACTTCTCCTCGTCTTCATCAATCAATTCGCGGACCACTGAGTCTACCAGGAGGCCAATTGGAGGGGACTGAATAATGTTATTTTGGAGTTGAGGGCAACCATCGGTCCCCCCATATGCGAACAACTTAGCCATTGCCGATTCTCCATCGAAGACCATCAACCAGGAACTCCTGAGCACTCATCAGACTTCGCCAAACATAACTGGGTCGGTAGCCGACGCGAGCCTCAAGAACGTCAACATTTTTATGATACTTCGCCTTCATGATTCGTGCTACTAAGGACGTCGGTCTCTGATACAAGTGCCAAAGTTGCCTCGCAAGCAAAGCCTGATTGAAACCTCTCAGGTCCCGAAAGCCCATACCCCCTTGTTCCTTCGTACAAATAAGTGCCTCCCGCGCCACCCATGGGGTCTTCCTCTCTTCTCCTTTATACCCCCACCAAAATCGGGTAATTAACCCATGTATCTCATCCAGAATCCCGTCGGGAACCTTAAAAACAGACATCGTATGCGTTAGTTGAGCTTGAGCTACCGACTTTGTCAGAACTTCTCTTGCTGTAGCTGACATCGACTTCTCTTTCCACCCTGCCAGCTTCTTTCGAACTCGGTCCTTCAAGTAGACAAAGAGCTCTTTTTTAGACCTACCAACCTTGGTCACCATGCCTAAGTACTTGTTGTGTTTATCCACCACCCTCATTCCCAATGTCGAGCTCACCAATAAACGTTGGTGCGGCTTCACGTTTGCTCCAAAGGTCACTTCCGACTTTTCCAAACTAACTAGCTAGCTCGATTCCTTTTCATAGTCAGCGAGCACCCTTCTCAGCTCGCGACTCTCCTTCTCCGTCGCCCTAGCAAAGAAGATAGAGTCATCAGCAAAAAAGAGATGTGAGATGACCGGAGCCCCCTAGCTACCGAAAGCCCATATAGCTTTTTCTAATTAACGGCGTGGGATGTATAGGATGACAGGCCCTCCGCTACTAACAGAAAAAGATACATAGACAGTGGGTCTCCCTGCCTCAGTCCCTTGCTCGGTACAAACGTCTGTGATCTGTGGCCATTCACTAGAACCGCGTATGACACTGACTTAACACACAACATAATCAGTCTAATCCACCTTGCTGCAAAATCCAACCGTTGCATCATCCCTTCCAAAAACCACTACTCAATCCTATCATAAGCTTTAGCCATATCAGTTTTGGCCGCTAGATAGCCCGTCTTATTTTTTGTTTTCTTCTTCATGGTATGGAAGCACTCAAAGGCAGTCATTACGTTATCAGCAATGAAACGACCTGGGACGAAAGCACTATGTTCCGGTGAGATGATCTTGTCTAAGAGTAGTTTCAACAGGTTCGCTAGCGCCTTCGATAACATCTTATAGTTAATATACTTATACTATCATGTATTCAACCATCCCATAGTCTTGGTTTGTTCATACCACCATGATACGCTTTTCATACCATATGTATGCTCTTATGACGGATTCTAATTAAAGACTTTTCAGGACAGAGAATGAGCGCTGATGTGGCGGATTCTAATTGGGTTATACATAGTTATTGACCACAAGGTTATGCAGATCCGCTCCCTGATTCTACGATAAAAAGGTATTCGAAAGGTTAAAGTGTTTGTTGGATAAATTTAAATAATTGGTTTCTATAGCACAAAATAATTACTCAATTTATGTGACATAAACAAACACATTGTGCTAGGCTGCTAGGGCGTTCAAGATGTGTGTTTAAGTGGTTAGAACTCAGAACTCCATTTATTTCAAATTTAAGTGTAATGACGACATCTTATGAATAATAGAAAAGACTATCCAATACACCTAGAATAGGGCTACATATATTCAATTGAAGATAATTCTTCTCTGTAATGTTTATTATAGGCTAAATTACATGTTTAGTCACTTAAATTACATAAAATTTTCATGTTTGCCACCCGAATTACGTTTCTTTCTTATTCGTCACTAACTTTACAAATCATTTCACCGTAAGTCACCGACCGTTAGTCTCCGTCACACACCGTTAACTTCTTCAATATTTCGATGATGTGGCAAACGAGACTGCTGACTAGATCATTAACTTAATGATATGTCAATTTAAAAATATTAAATATTAAAAAATAATTTACAGTTCATCTCTTAGTCGGCGACACAAAGAAAGCTCCATATACATCACATCCCTTCCGATAGCCATTCCAGTCCTTCCATTCCCCATCGCCGGAATCCAGCCTCTTTGTCACCTCAAATCCGAGATTCTATCCAAGTAAATAAAAAAACCCTAATTCCTAGCTCCGATTTTGCCACCAGTACCCAAGTTAGAACTTTTTGTACTTGCTGCTTGGTTTTGTGCTTCCGGTCGCCGCCGCCGCTCTCCATCGTTGCTGAGTGGGTTCTATTTGTACGCTTCATCTCGAAGCTACATCCTCTGCATTTTTGGGTTTCAAGCCCAAAACCCATCCATAACCAGTTTCAAGCCCTACTCCCTCTTCCATCCGATGACCGGTGCTTCTCCGTCCAAATCTATTCGGCAGGAGAATCGCCCAGACAGAACATGGAAATGACTATGTGCTATGTTTTTCTAGAAATTGATCCGGATCAGCAATCTTCTTCCTCTCACCGACAGCAACAGATTTGGCACCATTGGTTTTCTTCCCTCAAGCAGGAGAGAGAAAACTTTTCCGACTACCCCTGCTTTTCTTCCCTCAAGCCCAGACTCCAGCATGCGCTTCTTCTCACTATTCCACGTCTCAACAACCAATCCTAAATACACTTTGTTATTTCACCACAAAAAATCAATAAATCATGAATCCTGCCCAATTTTGTTAACCAAATCTCTTTGGGAGATATGTGATATGAAAGAGTCCAAGAGCTGTTCATTGACCAAATCCCCTTTCTCTACGTTGAAATCATGCCTCTTTGAGGTCTTCATAACAAATTGAATGAGAGAGAGATATAACTTGTCGGTTCAGTCTACCGGCGAGATCCGCCGATAACTTTAAACCAGGGGAAGCTCTCGGCGGCGTCGGAGGGATATTGGGAGATGGGGCCAAGAGGAAGATGTGATCTGGAGTGTGGTCGACGGCGGAAGTGGAGAATGAGGGATATTTTTTTTTTAAATTGACATGTCATTAGTTAACGGTACAGTCAACATTTTCGTTTGTCACATCATCAAAAAATTGACGGAGTTAACGGAATTTGATGAAGACTAACGGTCAGTGATTAACGATGAAATGATTCATAAAGTTAGTGGCGAATAAGAAAGTGATTTGGGTGACAAACGTAAAAGATTTATGTAATTAAATATAATTTACCGTTTATATTATATATATAACGTTATAAAGTGAAATTGTGGGAGTTATTGTCGAAGAAAATTTCAAAACCGTTTTAAAAATAAAATAAAAAAACGTGATATCTATACTTAAAGGGAACAGATTAAATTAGCATGGCTCTCCCGGCAATGCTCAAAATTTTAAAGTGGGTTGTCAGTCAACAGTCAGGGCGTGAAAAGTGAAAACAAAGCCAAACAACAATCAAAAAAGAAAATAGGAAATAAAGCAAAAGGTTTATTTATTCATCCTTACTCAGTTTCCCGGAGGTGGTCGAAGAAGTCGAGGTCATAGACACTGTGAATCCCGGCGAAATGCACGATCCCGCTCAGCCGGTGGCGCTCCAGATGCTTCAACGCCAAATTCCGCTGGTGCTCCAACTCCGCCTCCGCCGCCGTGAAATTCTCCCTGTACTCCAGATGCCTGTACATCGTACCCGTCGACCTTAGCATCTCCGAGAGCTCCTTCTTCTTCCCCGCCGACGGCTCCACCACCACCCACAGCAGCGGCGGCGGAACCAGTCTCAGCGTGTTCGCCAGGCGCCGGAGATGCACCCCTTGGTGCGGATCCCTAGCGTTGGTGGGCGTGATTATGATGATTAGCCTTCTGGGGGTGAGTTTCAGTTTGGAACCCAGGTCTGCTGTCCCCGTGACCACCTCCTCCACCTCCTCCTCTGTTTTCAAATCGGGTGATGACGGGTCTTGGATACCGGAGCTTGACCTCGGTTGTGGTTGTGGTTGTGGTTGTGGTTGTGGTTGTTGTTGTTGTTGTTGTTGTTGTTGTGAGATGAGGTTTCGACTTGAATGCTGTTGGGGTGGGGAGTGGAGGGTTTCTGCCGATGAGTTGTTCGATGAAATGACTGAGCGAGAAGAGAGCCCTGGGGCCTTGCCCGTGGGGGCAAACCCGGTGAAGAAGCCCATGACGAAGCAGAGTGCGAAATGGACGGCGGCTTTCTTCCACAGCTGCAATTTCTTTTTGGACCTTTCTAAAGAACCCATTCGCAGATAAATGGAGCTGTTGGAAGACAGATGTAGGAGGGGAGGGTTAATTGCACAGGGTGCCACTTAAGTTTAGCATTTGTTGCACAATAACCACCTAAATATGTTTCGTTGCAACTAAACCATTTACTTCAAATTTCGGTAGCACCGTTATCATTTCCGTCCTCATTACTAACGATAGGTGTCAAAATGTAAATAGCCATGCCACTGGGACTGCCACATCAATGGTAGTATGCTACTCATATCTAGCCCAACCTCATTTAAATCCAATAAATAAACCAGAAGAAGGTTTTCCAGTCTCCGCCGGAGGAGGAAGGCGAAGAGCACGACGAGAAACATAAGCCCAGTCCACAATTCAGTTCTCCGCCTCGCCCACCACCAACCGCTCCCTGATGTTGCCGCCCCGACAGTACCAAGCAGTCGCCACCTCCGCCGCCACCGCTCCAAAACAAGGCTCTAGCGCCGCCTCCGCCATCAAACGCTCCACCGCCTCCTCTGGACAAGGCCAGTTCTGCTCAAGTGAAGTTGAAACCGTTGCATTGGGATAAAGTGAACAAAAACAATATCGTTCATTCAATGATCAATGGTGGGGGACAAACTCCACTATGGTTCTTTCAGGTATTAGGTAAGACTAATTCAATTCAATTAATCAAATCTGTTCACTTATTAATCTCAACAATTTCCTTAAAAGAAGCAATTAATTCTTGGATAATGATTGTCAAAACTGGAATATAATGACTATTTCTTCAAAGTGGATGGTGCAGCAGCAGCCATTCGAACAATCCAAACCATAACCAAAATCTCACGGCCAGCCCAAGATCGCAGATCGTAATTCTCGACCCGAGGAAGTCTCAGAACATCGCCAATGTACTCAAATCCATATCAATTTCTCGCAAGGAGCTTCTTGACTCGCTGACGGACGGCCACGGCCTGGACGCGGATCTTCTCGAGAAGCTCACTAGAATAGCACCGACAAAAGAGGAAGAAACCCAACTCAGTTCAGGGAGTCGCTCCGTACTCTGGATATGGGATGCAAGGAGCTCAGAAACAGGGGATTGTTCGTGAAGCTTCTGGAGGCGATTCTGAAAGCCGGGAATCGGATGAATGCCGGAACTTCCAGAGGGAACGCTAAAGCTTTCAAGCTGAGCTCGACAAAGCTCTCCGATGTCAAGAGCACCAACGGGAAGACGACTCTGCTTCACTTCGTGGTGGAGGAACTGGTGAGGGCGGAGGGGAAACGCTGAACCGGAACAGCAGCTTGAACCGGAACAGCAGCCGGAACAACAACAACATCAGTGGTGGTGGCGGAGGAGAAGCTTCCGACGTTGGTGGTGGCTCGAGGGACGACAGGGAGAAGGAATACACAATGTTGGGATTCCCAATTGTGGGAGGGCTGAACGCCGAACTCAGCAACGTGAAAAAAAGCCGCTCAAATTGACTACGACTCATCGGCCGCCACTTGCTCTCCTCGACTACATCAATTAAGGTTTACCAACTATTTTATTTCATGAAAAAAATTTACCGTGGGGAGGGAGGATTGGTTTATTTATTGGATTTAAATGAGGTTGCCCTAGATATAAGTCAGCATACTACCGCTGATGTGGCAGTCTCAGTGGCATGGTTATTTGCATTTTAGCACCTACCGTTAGTTATGGGGACGGAAATTATAACGGTGCTACCAGAATTTAACGTAAATGGTTTAGTTGCAACGAAATGTACTTAGGTGGTTATCGTGCAACAAATGCTAAAGTTAAGTGGCACCCTATGCAATTAACCCTAGGAGGGGAGGAGGAAGAAGAAGAAGAAGAATAACGGGGAAGGGAATCGGCCTCTGTCAGTCTCTGTCTGTGGCAATCGGAGAGGCGTGTGATTGCGGGCGGGGTGTTCAATTAATACGACTAACAGTAGCCTTGGGGATGATATGCTACCTGCTGCTGAATGATGGCAACTTGGGAACTCAAACCCCTAGGAAATGGAGAAATATGGATGGGTATTTGTTGTGGTTGAACCTCTGCGTATTGATTTTGATTGGGTGGGGGCATTGCTTTCTGTGGTTTGTCGCTTCGGGTGAAAGGAAACTAAGAAAAAAATATTGCTTTCTGCACCAAATATAGTTGTTGGTATGGATGGAACCCAACCCATCAACTTGTATATACTTTTTGGTAAACAAATCTTCTTTTCTAATTATTATTGTGTTATTATTAGTACATACAAGTGTTCTGCTATTGGCCTTGACAGGGATGGCAATGGATCGGGTTGGGGTGGATTTTGTCAAACCCGAACTCAAATCCATGGGTTTGTCCGTAAAAAAAACTCGGGGTAAAACCCGTTGGGTTTGAAAAACTCAAACCCAACCCAATCCGCTGGGTATCCGCTGGTTGATGGGTACCCGTGAATTTTTTTGGTAAAATATTTATAAAATAATAATTAACAAGAAACTACCAAAATAAAAATCAAGCATAAATCTCACCATACATATCAAGCACCTAAACAAAACAAATCTTGATGATTAAGTAACTAAAGTATTCAGTAACTAGATGACCATTTGTGCAGCTTAAATTCCACAGGACTAAAAGTGCAGACAAACAAACTTCTAAAATAAAACTACTCCCAAATTTCTATTTTTTGTGCAACAGCTTCCATCTGCTCACTCATTCTTCCCATCCAATCTTCAACAGCCATCTCTTCTCTCTGTCTTGCTCGCTCAACTGCAGCGACACATCCTGATCCTCCGCCTTGCACTTCTTGTTGTACTTCTTGTTCTTGGCAACCTCTTCTTCCTTTACAGTACTCAAGGCATCTGATAGGTTGTTTTCCAGAATGATCACAAATACAGGAAAGTAGCAGAAAACATACAGATTGCAGAGGAGAAACTACTGGAAAACAGGCCATGAAACACCAGTTACACCACCAACTCCTCCAACTGCAAATTCGTCAGCACTACCTTCCCGGTTCCTAAATCAAAAGTATTTCTTACACCCTATGGAAGTAAAAATTTAACTTATCAGTTGAAAATTCGCCACCCAAGCTGCTCCTCGCCTGTGAAATGTGGCGAGGTAGGTTCCAAGTGGAGACCACTGTACTAAACTCTCAGTGCAGAACATCAATATCAAATAGGGATCACATCAAGAGAAACGAAAGTGCAGCACATCTTACGCCACGGTAAACTAAATAAAATTGAGCCATGATCTCAGCAGCCATCATAAAAGTACATACGAGATTTGCAGCAATGTGTTCTTGAATAACCTTACAACAGTAGTTTTCAACGTTCAAACACAAGGAAGAGCAGGGGGAGGGCGCGTCGGGAATGGAGGCGGAAACTCGGGAGAGGATTTTGGTGGTGGCGGGGCGGCCGTCGCCCGTCACCCGTCGGATTGGGAGTCGGAAGTCGGGACGGGAGGTGGAGAAGAGGAGTCGTGGAGAGGAAGAGGAAGAGCGGAGAGGAAGAGAGGAAGAGCGGCGGCGATGGGTTTGTGAATTGTGTCTCTGGGGAAGTGGGAATTGTGTGATTTGTGTCTCTGGGAAGTGGGAAGTGGGCTGGGGACGGGGGTAATTTAGGGTTAGATGTATGTCTGGGTATCCACCCCAATCCGTCCAACCAGTCATCGGGTTTATACTCGAACTCGGCCCGAACCTGGTCAACACGGATTTTATTCGGTTTGACCGGGTTGGGTCGGTTCGGGTACCCGTAGGTCCGGGTTGAACTGCCATCCCTAGGCCTTGCCTGCACCTACAGGCTACAAGGAGGGAAGCCCAGTGAAATTACATAATGACTTGCGATTAGGGATGTCAATCCAACCCGTAACCATGGGTATCCTACCCGACTGTAACCGGTCAACGAGGGTAATTACCCGCTTTGACGGGTTAAGGGACGGGTACGGGTAATGATCGGTTTCAAAATAAAGGGTAGGGTAATGGTATGGTAATCGATAATACCCGCCCCGTTATACCCGCCCCGCTAACCAAAAGGTCAATTTCCCTTGAGAAATTTATTTTAGCTTGAGAAATTGAGTTTAGCTACCATTATTGATGATGAAGATGTAGACGATTATTATGTTTGTGTGGATTGTAGAAGCAAGAACAATTATTATGTGTTTGCTGTTTTTATTTTTGAGGATTGTTGAAGCTATAACAGTTACAAGTATTGAGAATTTTTAATGGACAAGAGTATGTTTGTGCATATATGTGTGTATAAGTTCATAGTTTAGGATTTGTACCCATGGTTACCCGAATACCCGTGGTTACCCGATGGGTAGGGTATGGTTATATAATTTTCATACCCGGTGGTTATTTGATCGGGTATTTTAGAAAGCTCTACCCAGCGGATTAGGAGTTGATATAGGGTTAACCCGCACATTGCCATCCTACTCGCTATGATTAGAAAAAGACCACAATGACTTAAATTACTACGGCAACCGGCAACTTTTATTTCCAAGGTTCGCAAGACGAATTATTATCGAGTCACAGTTTTGCGGTATCAACAATCAGCAATCCAATGAGTAGAATGCCACGAGCTAAACACCTGTACCAATTAACCTAACAGGAACGAGTACAGGCGGCATTCTATTCTCTCTATGGCACCAAACCACTTAGTCTAGATCTTGATCGGATTATTATACATAAAGATCCACTCATCAACTACTACAAAGCACACATCAGAAAGCACGAACAAAGCACAGTTGATACCCGAAAATGCCTTGACAACCATTAAAACAAAACCATAATCCGAAATTGTAACCCGTTCACAAAACTGCTTCAACATCCAATGCAAAAACCAACTGTCTAGGAAACGTACGACAGAAACAGAGAGTACTCTGCAACTCACAAAACATCACTTCTTCTTAGCAGCAGCCTTGGTGACCTTGGCGCCAGTTGGGTCCTTCTTCTCCACAGCCTTGATCACACCAACAGCAACAGTCTGCCTCATGTCTCTCACGGCAAACCTTCCAAGAGGCGGGTACTCAGAGAATGTCTCCACAACCATGGGCTTGGTGGGAATCATCTTCACGAACCCAGCATCACCATTCTTCAAAAACTTGGGCTCCTTCTCAATCTCCTTGCCAGATCGCCTGTCAATCTTGGTCAGGATCTCAGAGAACTTGACAGCAATGTGGGAGGTGTGGCAATCCAGCACTGGGGCATAACCGTTTCCAATCTGCCCCGGGTGGTTCATGATGATGACCTGGGATGTGAAGTTGGCAGCCTCCTTGGCTGGGTCATCTTTGGAGTTGGATGCAACAAAACCACGCTTGAGATCCTTCACAGCAACATTCTTCACGTTGAACCCAACGTTGTCACCGGGCAGAGCCTCCTGGAGAGCTTCATGGTGCATCTCCACAGACTTTACCTCAGTGGTCAGACCAGTAGGACCAAAGGTTACAACCATACCTGGCTTGATCACACCAGTCTCAACCCTGCCCACTGGCACAGTTCCAATACCACCAATCTTGTACACATCCTGAAGTGGGAGACGGAGGGGCTTGTCTGTTGGCCTCTTGGGCTCGTTGATGTTGTCAAGGGCGTCAAGAAGAGTAGGGCCCTTGTACCAGTCAAGGTTGGTGGACCTCTCAATCATGTTGTCACCCTCAAAACCAGAGATTGGAACGAATGGGACCTTGTCAGGGTTGTACCCAACCTTCTTCAAGTAAGAAGAAACTTCCTTTACAATTTCATCATACCTAGCCTTTGAGTACTTCGGGGTAGTGGCATCCATCTATAAAAGAGAAAGCATCCATAAGCATACAGCCATAATTGACAAATCTATTTAATATCTCAACAGCTAATTAATTTGTTACCTTGTTGCAGCAGCAAATCATTTGCTTGACACCAAGGGTGAAAGCAAGAAGAGCATGCTCACGGGTCTGGCCATCCTTAGAGATACCAGCTTCAAAACCACCAGTGGTGGAGTCGATGATGAGGACAGCACAATCAGCCTGGGAGGTACCAGTAATCATGTTCTTAATGAAATCACGATGTCCAGGGGCATCAATGACCGTGCAGTAGTACTTGGTGGTCTCAAATTTCCAGAGAGCAATATCAATGGTGATACCACGCTCACGCTCAGCCTTGAGCTTGTCAAGCACCCAGGCGTACTTGAATGACCTTTTGTTCATCTCGGCAGCTTCCTTCTCAAACCTCTCAATCACACGCTTGTCAATACCTCCAAGCTTGTAGATCAAGTGACCAGTGGTGGTTGACTTCCCAGAGTCGACATGGCCAATGACCACGATGTTGATGTGGACCTTTTCCTTACCCATGTTGAAGTATGGTAAGGAAGCTGAAACCAATCAAAAGCAGAAACAGATTAGACCACACAGTAGATGATTATAGACCCATATTGAAACTTGGACAGTGGCAAAAGATCTGCTTGCTATAGATTCTACAAAGTGGAGATACTCGCTTAAAGGTACCAAAATCCAAAATAGCATTTAACCATGATCGAAAGTAGATTCAAACCATCCACAGAGATTGAAATGCATGAAGTGGCTGCTGGGATTCGAGCCCAGGTCTCCACAGCGAAGTGTGGGATTTACCAATAAACTACAGCCACTGAATAGACTCAGAAAACCGTGTGCAGATCTAATCCACGCATCTCTTTCACAACCACTACCAAAGATGCGTAAGACATAGATTCAAGCACACCGATGCGTAACTTTATTATTATGTATAAAACAGAAATCATAGCTTCGTTAACCAAAAAATAAACATCGGAACCCTAAACAAAAATAGACAACGAATCGAGATAAGAGCAGCTGCAAGAGTAGCACAAACAAACAGATCGAAAACCTAAATCCATCGCCTAGATCCACATAACGAGATACGCTCACGAACGAAAACGATTGGGAACAGAGAAACATAGATGAATCTACCAGCTAACAGAATTAACACATAAAAAGAACGGCAATAAGAAAAACAAAGAGGAGCTAAAGGAAGCGAACCTGTAACAACGACGGGCTGTGTTGGAGTGAGGTGTGCTCTCCCGCAGTCGCAGTATCAAAGAGCAGAGAGTGAAAGAGCAAGCGAAAGAGGACGGTGAAGAGGAGCCTTTCCTCGGGTTAAGTAGTCTCGGTGTCAAGACCTAAAGCCTTGGGTTGAATTAGGGTTTCTGTTACAGCCGTTGGATTGATCTATCTCAAACGGTCCAGATTAGTTCCCGTCAAAGCCTAATTTTTCTCTTTTCTCTTAATTTAATTGGGATCCAATCCTAGTCGGCGTCACGTCACCCGGCCTGGCAGATTTATAATGCCGTGATGGGCAAGTTTGACAACCGGCCCGTGCTTGGTATACTTTTTTTTTTTACAATAACGTCCGACTTTTATTCCACTTCCATCTCAAAAAAACAAAAAAAGCGAGAATACACTTTATCAAACGAAATCCGAAATTAGGTCAAGAATACTAATCCAGTCAACAGGGAGGGAGGATCTAGCAAGTAATCGTGCAACCCAATCAGCTCTAACATTAAAAGCACATGAAATTGCCTTGACCTTCACATGAGGGTTCGTTCTTAAGATTGAGACCATTGAACCAATCCAGGCTACCCCTCGCCAAGGCCAATTTCTTGGCTCGTCCGAGAGAGCTTTGACAATCCGCTGGCAGTCTGACTGGACAACACATTCCGTGCCATATTCTTGGGCTAATTTGAGACCTTTTAAAAGTGCTTTCGCTTCGGCTTCGAGTGGGGTGGAACAAAGAAGAGTTTCAGCTCTCCCATCACACACTTGACCATGGTGGTTAGTGACTACCACACCATATGCCGCCGGCTGGGAGTCGTTTAAGAACGACCCATCACAGTGAATCACAACATTGTGATTGCTTGGCGGTGGAGAATTGGGTGATTGGGCTCCCCTGAGCTGAGTAGAAGGAGAGTCATTGGGGGGACTCCTCGGGCAGCTAGTCCATTCCGTGAGTTCCTTGTAAGTTCGCAAAATAACATTCGGATGCCAAGGGAACCGATTCTTGAACACACATTCATTTCTAGCCTTCCAGATATTCCAGCACAGGAAAATAACCTGGGTGAGGGCTCCTGGTTGGATAGAGTCCTTGAGTAGGTACACACATCCAATAACTTTAATAGCTCCAAGATCAATGACTTTCTTAGACTCCCAGAGACTCGCGCCAGATCCAATATGGTTTGCTTCCTTTTTTAGCCGAGAGGAAATTGCCTCTAGGGAAATAAAGTCCTTTGATCAGACGACTCCAAAGTGTATCAGTGTTGTTCATAAGCCTCCAGGCTTGTTTGGCAAGCAGGGCCAGATTGAAATCTCTGAAGCTTTGGAAACCCAAACCTCCCTCTGATTTTGGGGTACAGAGAACCTCCTTCCTGCACCAGTGGAGGTTGCTTTTCTGCATCGACCCTGACCAGAAAAAAATTGCTAAGGAGAGAATCCATTTTCTTCGTCAGTGAGACTGGTAGAAGGAAAAGGCACAGGATGAACGAAGGGATGGCCTGGATAACCGACTTGAGAAGGATTTCCTTCCCTCCATGTGAAAGAAGTAGGCTCTTCCAAGCTTCCCCCCATCTTTTCCATCCTTTGGATAAGGAAGTAGAATGTTTCCTTCTTTGAATTTCCCCATTCTGTCGGGACACCAAGGTATTTAGAATGACAGTTGGAGGATGAAAATCCAATGTGATTGATGATATCATTCTTCTCTTCAACATGAACATTTGCGCTGAAGAAAATAAATGATTTATGTATGTTTACTTCTTGACCAGTTATTGCCCCATAGTCGTTGATGACCTCCAATATTCTTCCAGCCTCTTGGATGTTAGCTTTCCCAAAAATGACTGTGTCATCCACAAAAAGACAGTGAGTGAGAGTAGGGCATCTGGAGTTGAGCTTAATTCCTTTGATCCGTTCTTCCATCACAGCTTTGTCAATCAGGAATGTGAGCGCATTAGACATAAGGATGAAGAGAAAAGGGGATAGAGGGTCTCCTTGTCTAATGCCTCTCGAGGGAGAGAAACTCTCTGAAGCTTCTCCGTTGAATAAAACTGAGAAGCTAACAGTACGGATACAAGCGCTGACCCATTTGCACCATCTCTCGTCGAACCCATACTACCTAAGGAGAGTCTCCAGACATTCCCACTCCACCATGTCATAAGCCTTTTTCATGTCCAACTTCATCATCATATCCCTTCTGTTGCCCAGCTTGTGATTCTTGAAATGATGTAGAGCTTCATGAATGATAATGATGTTATCTTGGATGAGGCGCCCGCACGTGAAAGCTGTCTGGAGCTCCGAGACCAAAACGGGTGTCCACTTTTTCAGTCGGGTAGACATAATCTTAGAGATGATTTTGTACCTGAAGTTGCAGCAGCTGATGGGTCGGAATTGGCCAATTGTCTCTGGGTGGTCAATCTTAGGAACCATCACAATGTGCATATCATTCCACCCTTCAGGCATGCTAGTTGATTCAAAGAATTCCTCCACCTCTCTACAGAGGGTTTCCCCAACAGTATCCCAATATCTTCTGTAGAATTTACCCGAGAACCCGTCTGGTCCCGGTGCCTTTCTTGCTCCGAGAGAGAACACTGCTCTCCTAATCTCTTCCCTGGTCACTGCTGCACACAGTTCCTCATTCATCTCTCCTGTTACCATTGTTGGGAACCCTTGAAGGAGGTGGGTAAACTCAATGTTATCTCTAGCCTTGAAAAGTTCTTTGAAGAACCCTACAGACAAACCCTTCAGCCCTACCTCATCTTCCACCCAATTCCCCTCTTCATTTCTAAGGCGAAGTATTCTGTTTCTATGCTTTCTGTGAATAGTGCTAGAATGGAAGAAGGAAGTGTTTTGATCCCCTTTTTGAAGCCACGCAACTCTAGAACACTGACTCCAAAATGCTTCCTCCTCAAGCCAAATTCTGGTCAATTCCGCTGTAAGGATCTTCTCCTCCTCTACATTCTCTGGAATACGTGGGGGTTGCTGGAGAGTCTCAAGTCTGGACACAATTTCACTCTCCCTAAGGATACTATTCTTATGGAAATCTTTCACCCATGCCTTCAGTTCTCTCTTGCATTTGTTTAGCTGATTGCTAGATAGCCCTCCTGGTTCCCATTCCCTGCAAACAATCTCTTTGCATCCCTCTTTTTCCAGCCATCTCTCGTCCACTCTGAATGATGTTCTTCTTCTTCTGTTTTCTTTATAGTGGAGATCAATTCTGATTGGGCAATGGTCAGAAGCCACCATCTTTTCATGGAATACTACCGCTTCTCCAAACATCACTCTCCAATTTGGCGAGTACAACACTCGGTCCAATCTGACTCTAACCAAATTTGGGCTAGAGCGTTTATTGGACCAAGTAAAATGGGTGCCTTTAAAACCAATGTCAACGAGGGCATTGTCAAAAATGAACCTTTTGAAAGGTTCCACATTCTCGTACCTAAGAGGGCACCTCCCTTCCTTTTCATATTCATACATAGCAGCATTAAAATCCCCTACAATGACCCAACTATCATCTCTACTACTCCGAAGAGAGCTTAAATGCTCCCAAAACTCCCTTCTACCAACAACCGTAGTCGGGGCATGGACAAAAGTACAAAAGAACTTTTTCCCCATGTTGATGCTAACATCCATATAATACTTATCACTACTGATTACATTAATACTAATACCCTCTTTCCACCATAACGCAAAGCCCCTTGAGGAATTGATCGGTTCAACATACTCCTTATTGGGGAAAACTCTAAGACTTCTTCTATGTTCTTCCATGAATTCTTCGTTTTTGCTAGTTGCCATAAGGAAGACAATAGAAGGGCCATGACGTCGAATAAGACGTTTAGTATAACTTCTCGTAAGGGATTGGCCAAATCCCCTACAGTTCCAACTTACAATACTCATGGATCGTGAGGTGGCTTTTGGCGAACCACCGCTGCCCTTGTGTCACTTTCTTCTCCATCCCCTATGCCTTCACTTGTCGATTGAGCTTTGTTCTTTTGGTGCTTCTTCCTTTCATTCCTCCTGCAAATATAGAGTTAGATGGGCTCAAGTTAAACCCAGATCCCTCATTAACCCCCTAGCCCGTTTCTTCTGGGCTTAGGATAGAGAGGCCCTTTCTTTTCTTTATCTTGCGGCCCATATCCCCTTCAAGCTCCCCTTGGATATGCTGGTAGGTATTCTGGGCCAGTGTGTTGACCAGCATGGGCTCCAACTCCTCTCTTGGACTGGCCTGTGAGGTGGATTTGCCAGGCCCAAGTGACAATTGGGCGCCCATTATCACCCTCCTCTCTGTCATTCGCTGCGCCCCTTCCCCTTTGTCGAGACTCAACCTCCCCTGAAGAGCCGTCGCTGCATCCTCCAAATCACTTGACAGATCTCTTGCCCCCATTCCTAGCCTGTATTTCCCCTTCATCCTCCCCCGATTACTCCCTTCTTCAGCTCTAGCTTCCTCCTCCAACCGGCGCACAGTGAAGCCCGGTGGGATTTGGGGATGAACTTCTTCTTCCCTTCTTGCCGACGTGAGCTCTGCCGTCACCATCGTCTCCCTGCCATCAATTAATCCGCCCGAACTGTAATGGTCCCTCCATGCTTCAGGGTCGGTGGATGGACACCATGGCTCTTCCTCTTCAACCCGGCTTCTGCTACCACTCGATCTGTAGGGGGACTCAATTCCCGACTTCAGCT